GGATGAAGGGCAGCCTGAGCATAAGTGTGGGGTTCAACCTGCTGACTAATAGAAGCAAGGAAAGATTGTTGTTGGGGTGAGAAACGATGATAAGTGAGGAAATTAGCAAGAGGATACCTTGTACCGGTGGTAGGACCTGGCGACGAAGAGGAAGAATCGATTGGTTGGGTAGAAGGCAAAGTAGGGCAAACATAATCACTGAAGCGAGCTGGAGGAGCGGAGCGTCGGTCAGAGCGGCGAAGCACAGGCACGGAAGGTGCGGGGGGCACGGGCGCTGGGAGCGCTGTTATGGCAGTAGCAGGGACTGAGAGAGTTGGAGCATCGGACTCTGGAGGTGGATGAGTAGAAGACTCAACAGGTGACACGGGAGAAATGGTGGACGCGGAAGGAGTTGTAGAGAGAACAGTGTAGTCAGGAAGGGGTTGAGGTAAGACAGGTCCGGGAAGGGGAAGTTGGTCATCGGAGGTGGAGTGATTTTGGTAAGGAAAAATATGTTCGTGGAAAATGACATCACGACTGGTAAAAAACTTATGGGTGGTGAGGTCGTAGAGCTTATAGGCTTTTTGACCAACAGGATATCCTAGAAAAACACACTTATGGGCACGGGGAGCAAACTTATGAAAAACGTGAGTGTTGGTGGCATAAGCAAGACATCCAAAGACACGTAGGTGGGAATAGGTGGGTGATTAGGAATAGAGACGTGCAAAAGGTGTAGTATTGGAAAGAACTTTGGTAGGAAGACGATTAATAAGGTGAATGGCCGTGAGCACACATTCACCCCAAAAATGAAGTGGTAGGTGGGCTTGGAAACGCAAACTACGTGCTGTCTCAAGAATGTGACGATGCTTGCGTTCTACAACCCCATTTTGTTGGGGCGTATAAACGCAAGAGTGTTGGTATACGACACCGTGTTCTTGGAAAAAATCACGAAGGGAAAAAAATTCACCTCCATTGTCAACACGGATTTGGCAAACAAGTGTATCAAATTGAGTACGAACATAAGAGAAAATTCTTGAGGAGGTGTTGAGTCTCATTTTTGTGATGCATAAGAAAGATCCATGTGAAACGAGAATAATCATCTACTATGGTCAAAAAATATTTGGCTCCACAAGTGGAGGCAACTTTATAAGGACCCCAAATATCACAGTGAATTAAAGCAAAAGGTTTCTGGGTTGCAATGGTACTAACACCAAAAGGTAAACGACTTTGCTTGGCTAATGGACAAACATCACAAGCATTATTTGACTGGAAAGGAAAATGTAACATAGTTTTGGACATGAAATCTAATCTAGATGATGACAAATGACCTAAACGACGATGCCACAACTCTGTAGGTGATAGGACCATGTTGCAGAAACGTCTCGAAGTGCCATCGTGGACAGGAGCCAACGCCACCAAATAGTAAAGTCCTCCTCGCTGCTTACCCAAACCAATCGTTCTCTTCGTGGTCAGATCCTGCAAAATACACCAAGTGGGAAAAAAAGTGACGGAACAATTTAATCCTCCAGTAATTCGACTCACTGACATCAAATCTACATTAAAAGTAGGCACACATAACACATCTCGGAGTAAAAAGGTAGAATTCAAAGGTAAATCTCCGGTTAATGCAATAGGTGCTTGTTCTCCACTTGGCAATAAAACTGGCAGCATATTATCATTTTTCACACCATTAGTAAGCAGTTTCGGTGAGGAGGTGATATGGTCCGTCGCACCACTATCGATGATCCATCGATGGAGATGCGAAGGATTTTTTGACAAACCTTTGGTAAGGGTGGTAGCATTGGCTTGAGGGGTAGCGGATACATCCTTCCCATTCATGATACTGAGAATTTGCTGAAACTGAGAATCTGATAAACCTGACATCACGAACTGCATTTCTTGTATAGAAGGTCCTTCTGAGGAAACTATGTTGGCTGACGAAGAGCCGGTGTCCCGCTTGGAGCGATTCCCACCACGTGGATTGGATTTGTTGGTCTTATGAAGACGATGCCCAGGTGGGTACCCATGCAACTGGTAGCAAGTATCAATAGTGTGGTAATCTTGATCGCAATGCGTACAATGCATGGGTTTTCGAGTGGAGGAACCTGCGGACTTGGAATGGTGACCCTGGCGAACTGCCATGGCTGCTGTTGCAGTGGTGGTGCGAGAAAGGCTCAAAGAGCGTTGTTTCTCCTCTTGTGATATTGAGGAGTAAGCTTGACGTACAGTAGGCAAATGATTCATCAAGAGCATTTGTCCTCGAATAGCACTATATGAATCATTGAGTCCCATAAGGAACTGCATCAACCTGTTCCTTTCATTTTGAGCACCGCATGTGCATGAGGATGAATCACTGTAAGAAGACAACTCGTCCCACAGACTCTTCAACTTGGTATAATAGGCTGCAATAGAGAGTTGATCTTGAGAAAGACACGAAATATCCCGCTGCAATTGAAAAATCCGAGGAGCATTGCTTTGGGAGTAGCGCTCTTCCAATTCGTCCCAAATCTCATGAGCGCTAGTCATGTAGAGAATGCTGTCTGAAATATCTGAATCGATTGAGTTGATGATCCAGGCAACAATCATGTCGTTGCATCTCTTCCATGCAACATGATCGTTCGGCTGGGTTTTTGCTGACGGTTGTGGAACAGTGCCATCAACAAAAACAATCTTGTTCTTAGCACTCAAGGAAATCTTCATGGCTCGGGACCAGGTGGAATAGTTGTCCCCATTAAGGGGTTTCGAGACCAGCACCATAGCTGGGTGGTCTGAATGATGAATGAACAATGGATTGGAAGCATCAGGCTTGCTTTCGCTCGAAGTTCGATCATCGGCCATTGCTAATATCAATGGAAAGAAAAAAGAAAACACGCTGCTTGTGATGAACAGCGGCAAAGAGAAATAACAGCAGAAGAAAATAGAACTAGGGTTTTGGCCTAGCTCTTGATACCATGAAAAATATATTCGGCTATATTCCAATATATTTGAATTGATGTTCTGCTGCAATTGCTGCAGAACTTATATACAAGATTATTACAGACGCATGCAATAAACAAAGGACAGAAAGTGGCATCCATGCTGTCCTTGTTGAAGCAGTCAGCAACCACAAGCAGTGACCTTGCTGTCCACGTTATTTTTACATCCACACATGCTAACTCAGCTGTGAAGGAATGATTATATTCCTTCTGTCCATATTCCTTCTGTCCAGTGTGTGAGTAGAGCACCTTTAACAGATATCACTCACTTTTCAACAGGAAGGGATAGGAAAGAAAAAGACTTCAGGTATATCATTCAAGGATTTTTGCTATTTGTTTTGTATTATTTTCTTTTCCTGAAGATTTCTGTATTTCTACATTACGTCTTATAGTTTCAGACTTTCAGGAGATCTGCCAACATGTTGTCTACTAGACCACTAAGGTTGGCCTCCATCATATTGCTTGCTTCTCTGCCACCGTTACAATCAACGGGTCTCAACTTCTTCGCTTCTCTGCCACCGTCACAATCAACGGGTCTCAACTTCTTCGTTTCCTATTTCTCAGAGGTAAACAGTCGATCCCGAAACGACGCCGTTGGTAGTACTGTCTTTTTATTTACATGCATTTTGGTTTTTCTAGGGTTTTTATTTTTATTTTTTTCTAAACGCATATCCTGAATTGAATGCCGAAATTCGGAACTTGTGCGAATGTTGAATAACTACTTACCACTTGTATTTGATTATCTTGGATATAATTTATGTCTCAATAGAAAATCGAATATTAATTAAGTATGTTAGTTACCATTTGTGTTTAATTATCTCGGAGATAATTAATGTCTCATTCGAAATTTGGAACTTGGGTGAATGTTGATCAACTATGTTAGTCACCATTTGTTTTTAATTATCTAGGTGATAGTTTATATCTCATCCGAAATTCGGAACTTGTGTGAATGTTATCAACTATGTTTGTAAGCATTTTGTTTAATTATCTAGGAGATCACTTCTCATTCACAGACACAGTTAACGTTTTGAAGATTATTTCACAAATATAAAAGATACTTGGAGAAGCTTCTGTCTGAACTTATTTATTGGTGGAAACCGAGCCTAGAAATAACATTTTTCATCTCAATTTTGGAGCTAGCTTGCTAGAAACTGTGGAAAATTTTGTATTATATGCTCTGCGTTTTTGTTAAATGTGATAGTTTTGAGCATCTCTAAATATCTCTTTCTTTTTCTTTTCATAGGATAATTATGGTTTATTTAAAAATCTCCTCAAAAATTGATGCAGAAGGAAAGCTTGTCTGTTGAACCTCACATGCCGGTTTTTGTTTCATCAGGGGAAATAGAAGGAGAAACTTTTATGGGTCAAGAAGCAATATGCAAAAAGTGCAAGTGTAGTTTACTAGCTGCAAATTAGTGTCAACGGCCGAGTATTTATATTCTTTTTAATATGTTATGATGTTTCTCTATGTAAATTTGAGTGCTTAAAATAGTTATGTTTCTTTCTATTCTTTTATGTATTAAAGTTGTGTTTGTATTTTCAAAGCATTCATTACATCAAATTCATGAATATGTTACCTATAGTTCTTATGGAATTTTTTTTTTCAGTTTTGTTTGTACCATACTTAGGGCATCTGTATTTAGATCTCATATAAATACTTGGGGGACTCAAATGTAATTATGTAATAAAGGTAGGCAATTATGTAATAAGTGAGGAGCCCTTATTCTATAAAATGACCCCTCACCCTCACAATTAGGGGAGGCTAATCCTTAGGCCTGACCCTCACCCTCTCAAAGCCTCACATCCCCTCTCATATTCAGGGAAGCTCATCCTCACAGAAGGAAGCTCTCTCTCCCTCTCAATCCTCTCACAAACAGAGAAATACAATATCAGTATGGACGTAGCCCAAACCTTGGGGTGAACCACGATACATCTTGTGTTATTTACATTCTTGCATATTCACGGTCGGATTTACGTTGTTCCAAGACCTCCGGTTTTGTGCATCAACATTTGGCGTCATCTGTGAGAATCGACACAAAAATATCATGTCGGTTCTCTTTCATTTTTTCATCTCACCACCGTGAATCTGCAAAATCACAAAAAACCCAGAAACAGAAAAGATCCAAATCTCAAACACTCTTATCCTCCGCAAGGATTTCACAATCCCCAACAAAAAGGACTCCACAACAAAAATGATTTCACAAAGATTTCACCCCAACTAACACTATGATTTCCAAAGCTACAAGCTAAGCTTATCTTTTGCTTTTCACAGTCCTCAACAAAAGCTACAGATCTGTCTGGTGGTCTTGTCCTCCGTAGAGACATTCAAGATACCGTTAGCGTCAATATCAAAGCGGACGGTGATCTGGGGTACTCCTCTGGGTGCAGTTGGGATTTCGGAGAGCTCGAATTTTCCGAGCAAGTTGTTGTCCCTGGTCCTGATTCTCTCTCCTTTATACACCTGGATCAAGACTCTGGACTGGTTGTCGGAGTAGGTTGAGAATACATGTTCCTTCTTGGTGGGGATGGTGATGCCTAAGGTGCTATAGTTCAGGCCGCCATTCTTAGCGGAGAGGGCAACGAGAAGATAGAAACACCAAAGCCCCCGAGTCTTCGTTTTCTCCAAGAAGCAGGAAGAAGCAAATTACAAAAGACGAAGAAACAAGGAGAAGGCAAAAGCCAAAAGCCAACCGCGGTCTTACCCTTTGTTCCCGAGAAGATGAAATGCCATTTGCATTTCAAAATCGCGCTTTTTCTCAACGTCTTCTGCTTAAGGAGTAGCGTTTCTGGGGAGGCGCTATTTTTTGAGAAGTCGATTTTGCTCGAGATCAAGAGCTCGGTTTCTGACCCGGATGAAGTTCTCTTCGGCTGGAGGTCCAACAGCTTCGATCACCACTGTTCGTGGGTTGGGGTCTCATGAGACACCAAATCGAGGGTCGTTTCGCTCAGTCTCGCCAGTAGCGGTGCCAAATGAGGTAATTTTCAAGCTATCTCTTGCTCTCAGAGTGTGAAATTTCAATTCTCGTACGATGGGTTCAGTATTTGGAGGAAAAGTTTAGTTAGTAGAAAATTGGGTGGAAAGGTTTCGTCTTGGGTGGGAAAGCTCAGTGAGCTTAGAGTTTTATCGCTGCCTTTCAATGAACTTAGTGGCGAAATTCCGAAGGAAGTTTGGGGGTTGGAGAAGCTAGAAGTGCTTGATCTTGAGGGGAATTTATTAAACGGAAATTTACCAACCCGATTTTCAGGTTTGAGGACGTTGAGGGTATCGCCGCTAGCTGAGCATTAACGGCGTGAGAGACGTTAACGGCGCCACATCACAACGTGAGAGACATTAATGGCGCCACATAAATGAAGGTCCGGGTGGTGTGTTGGAAAGTGTATGATTACATTCGTTATGATCTGAAAGAGATTGCATTTCCATCTTCGCTGCCGGACCCTTCTCATATCAAGAAGCGGCGTCAGCTCACCATGCGGGAATGGTTTTTGGTGTTAAAGAAGGCTTCTAGGCTTTATGCCGCCAGCTGGGTGCGGGATGTTGGTCATGAACTGCGACCTAATGATTATAAGAATAAAAAGAGTGAAGATGGACCTGGTGGAGCACAGAGAACGGCTAAAGAGAAAGAACCCTCAACCTTAGAGGATCTTGCCTGAGTACAATTTGCTCTCCAGGCACAAGGTTCCATCTATCTGCAAGTGCAATGGATGCTCTCTGAGTCAACCAGGGCTGGGGTCAAGGCCAGCAGGGATTGGGTCATGGACATCATGGGTAAAGGGACAAGATAAGATTCTTCATCATGAACCTGCCCATTTTGTGAAAACCAACTGTCGACCACCAACTTCTGAATCATACATGTTCCTCTTTTCTGAAAAAAGAAAAGCAAAAGCAAGGAATAAACACCCCACCAGAATGATGCGATTTACTTTTCTTGTTTTTTTTTTGTATGATGTGATTTATTTTTCTTATCTTTCGGAGACATCTGTATAAACCCCATCAGAGGGTAATAAAAAATAAAAAAAAACGTCAAGCCCAAAATAATGGGTTGGAATGTTGTGTGGAGGGAGAAGGCCTATATGCCCAAAAGAGCCAGACCCTCTATTATCACTAACCAGGTGATCAAAAGTACGCCTAATACTTTAAATTTATTCGGCATCCTGCCGCTATTATCACCAACCAGGTGATCAAAAGTACGCCTAGTACTTCAAATTTATTTGGCACCCTGCCGCTAGTATCACCAACTAGGTGATCAAAAGTACGCTCAGTACTCCAAAATTATTCGACAACCTGCCGCTATTATCACCAACCAGGTGATCAAAAGTACGTCCAGTACTCCAAAATTATACATGAGCATTACTCATATCAATCATACATAAACATTCATGAGCATCACTCATGTCAATCATACATAAACATTCATGATCATCATTCATGTCAACATTCATGAGCATCACTCATGTCAACATTCATGAGCATCACTCATGTCAATCAGCTTCAAAAGCTTCATTTACAAAGCTCTAGCTTTAAAAACTTCATTTACAAAGCTCTAGCTTCAAAAGCTTCATTTATAAAAGCTCCAGCTTCGAAAGCTTCATTTACAGAGCTTTAGCTTCAAAGCTTCACTTGCAAAGCTTCACCTCTAAAGTTTCAGTGCAGGGTATACAAATACCGCATCCGGACAACCTCCACTTCGGCTCATGCATGGATCAAATTTGAAGTCTCCAGCTAATAGACTCTATTGATTGAAGATTTGGGGGACTACATTATGTACTATATGTTGGGCCTCAACTGGGCCTCATGAAAAATACTTGGGGGACTTAGCCCATTATTTATGTATTGAGGAGCGAGCTCTTATTCTATAAAAGAGACTCCCCCACTTTCATTAGAAAGCACCAATCACTTATGTATTGAGGAGCGAACCCTTATTTTATAAAAAGGACTCCCTTACCATCATTAGAGAGCATCAACTCTAGCCCATCATTCATGCATTGAGGAGCAAGCCCTTGCTCTATAAAAGGGACTCCCTCACCATCATTAAAGAGCATCGCCGCTGGCTGAGCAACCACCTCGCCGCGAGCATCAAATCTAGCCCATTATTCATGTATTAAGGAGCGAGCCCTTATTCTATAAAAGGGACTCCCTCACCTTCAAACGCCATAAGCCGAGCCAACCAAGGCAACATAAGCCATAAGCCGAGCAACCTCACAACATATGCTACTTCTAGTTGAGCATCATTTCAGATTGAGCACCGCCTTATATCGAGTATTCAGGTTAAGACGACATCTAGTTACTTCGGCCCACACATGGACTGTATTTCAAGTCTCCAGCCAAAAGACTCTTTTGACTGAAGACTTGGGGGACTACTGTTTGTACCATACTTAGAGCTTCCGTATTTAGATCTCGTATAAATACTCGGGGGACTCAAATGTAATTATGTAATAAAGGTAGGGGCAAATATATAATAAGTGAGGAGCCCTTATTCTATAAAAGGATCATTCACCCTCACAATTAGGGGAGGCCAATCCTTAGGCCTGACCCTCACCCTCTCAAAGCCTCACATCCCCTCTCATATTCAGGGAAGCTCATCCTCACAGAAGGAATCTCTCTCTCCCTCTCAATCCTCTCACAAACAGAGAAATACAATATCAGTGTGGACGTAGCCCAAACCTTGGGGTGAACCACAATACATCTTGTGTTATTTACGTTCTTGCAGATTCACGGTCGGATTTACGTTGTTCCAAGACCTCCGGTTTTGTGCATCAACAAGTTTCATAGATGTAAGTAACTATCCTATGAAATGTGAAGTCATGGATGAAAAGGATTTTTTTTTCTTTTCAGTTTCATAGATGTAAGTAACTATCCTATGAAATGTGAAGTCATGGATGAAAAGGATGGGAAGGGTTGTTGTTGCGGTGTGTGCAGAGTTGATGGTTTGAGAAGGATTGCTGTTGTTTTTGGAAGCGAAAAATCAAGGATAGCTTTAGAAACCATGTAAATCTTAAGAACTCAGGATTTCACTTCAATGGCATACATGTTGGAGGATGAAGAGAAGTTCGGCTAAGTCACATAATAAACAACCTAATTTGGTATCAAATTCGTTATCCACGATATTCGAACTGAATACCTCTTATTTACAAGTAAAGAGAAATATCATCAGACCGTCGTACTGAGTGGCATGATGCATATATTTATATTAATGGTTTCAAGATTACATTCAGAGTTTGAAAAACTCTAATTACATTGAACATTTGAAATTCAAAATACAAACAAAAATCAAACAAAGGATTATACGCTTTAGCTTATAACAAACATTTGAAAACAAGTCCTAAAAACATGGAATAACTGAAAAGATAAGAGTTCCAAGTGAAGCAAAACTCCTCAAGTTATGTTGACAGTGTTGGAAAATATTAGAATTTTATGGTTATTTGATTATTTGGATTTGCTTGTTAGTTTAATATATGGACCCAGCCCATTCGAATTAGGGTTTTTAGGTTTTGCTCTTTATAAATATAGCTTATAATTTAGTACGAATAATAAGTTAGTCACGATGTAGCCTCTTGGGATTTTGTAACTGTTTTGGTATTCTTGTTTATTTAATAATATTCTTATTATCTCATAGTCTTGTTTGCAACAACAAAACTCCTCTTGAGACACTAACAAGTGATAGATATAATTAAGTTGCACAATCGCGAGTCCTTATAAATTAGAATTGAACTCGCGTCATCTATGGGAGTGAAAAATTAAGATATTTCATTAACAAAATATTACTGGTAATTGATTATCACCTAATATTACACTTGCTAGAAGATTTATGGTTAAAAAAAATATTACTAGTAGATTTTGAGAATTCGAAGATTGATACCAGCAGGGTTCTTAGAGTTCTTTGAGAAGATGGCCCTGGTTTTGATACAAAAGCGGCTGTGGGTGAGTTGCGTATAGAGGTTTCAGGGCTTCTTGTGAGGGAAGTTCTGTTTGAAATTTTGAAACAGATAGATTATGGGAGTAAAATTACAAGCACACAGCAAGCACATGTTATTGAATGACGAAGATATTTGCGGATTGTGAAGAGTTCAAAGCAATGTCGAGGTTGGTTGATGAGATGATTGAGAAAGGGTATCCAACTACTGCACATACGTTCAACATTTTGATACGCACTTGTGGTGAGGCAGGCTTGGCTAGGAAAGTTGTGGAAAGATTCATCAAATCGAAGACGTTTAGCTATAGGCCGTTTAAACACTCATACAATGCAATTTTGCATTCCCTTCTTGTGGTGAAGCAGTACAAGTTGATTGAATGGGTCTATCAACAGATGACAAAGCACGACTGCATGCCGGATGTGGTTGGGGAGCTTGAGAAGGCCCAAGGAGTGTTTGATGAGATGATCCCTAATGGGCAGCTTCCGAATGTATTTACATAGAATGCTATCATTCGTGGGATTTGTATGGCAAGAAAGTTTGAGGAAGTGTGCTCCATGCTCAAGGTTATGGAATCCAGAAGCTCCAAACCAAATTTCACAGTGTACAGCACCCTACAAGTTATTTGTGAAATGTTGAAAAGCTTGTTGAAGCTCATAAAGTAATAACACATATGATGAAGAAAGGGCAATATGTCCATCTACTTTCAAAATTCAAGGGATACAAGACATATTAAAGCTGTAAATTCTTTTATTTGCATTATTTACTTGCAATCTTGCATGAAGAAATTAATTAATTTAGCTCGGTTAACAATATGTAGTTTTAGGGTATCTCAGTCACACCATATATCCATACCTTGTCTCAGTTGTCTCTGAATCAGAGAAGAGTGAAGTGCATACAAGTTATCTTTTTATCGGTATTTGTCTTTTGTGATAATTGACCTATATAGATTGCAGTTTTTCTGTGTTTTTTTAATTACATGTTGCACTTATGCAGTCATTATATTGGTTGCGAAAGAGACATCATTATATATTCTTCCTCCAAATATTCGAAACACACTTCCTGCCGCACTCACACTTCTTGCGCATGGAAAACGAGGTTGGCTCAGTGCACGATAAAACGACGCGGGTTCGGTGGATGCAAAAAGAGGGGGCTTCTAGCATGCAAAACGATGCAACCTCACATGTAGAACGAGGCGAACCCAGGCACACAAGACGAGGCAAGCTCTGCACACGTAGAACGAAACAAACTCCTGGGTGCTCAAAAAACGAGTTGGGCTCCACAAACGGAAAAATATATTTTGAAGAATATGAATATGGTAGTTTGTTGTAGTGGTAAGAGAAATAAAGGAAAAATGTATAAAAATGAAGGTGAAAGACTGTTTAACAAAACAAAATTTTGCTATTATTTGTTTAAGCCTCACCTACAAGTGATTTTAGCATGTACATCTCTATATTTTTTACTTATTTATTTACTTTTCGGCTTAAATATTCTACTAAATAGACACTTATTGCTCAATAAATCGTAAATCCACTTCCAAATACATTATAAAGATTTTCTTATAATATTTCGGGAAAATAAAAAATTTGCATTTTTTGCACAAAAATGTGGATTAACACTCATGATTGTTAGTCGATTTTGCAAATTCATAAATCGTAAATCCACTTCCAAATACATTATAAAGATTTTCTTATTTCTCACGGAAAATATTTCGGGAAAATAAAAAATTTGCATTTTTTGCACAAAAATGTGGATTAACACTCATGATTGTCAGTCGATTTTGCAAATTCATACATAGACCACCGTTCAATCTATTTATTTTCACCTTCTCACTATGAAGTTATTAAGGTGATACTTTCCGTCGACATTCTTGAGTGAAGAACCCCATTTGACAATGTTATGGGCTTCACTACTATGTTTATCACTTACTTTTTTAGTTTTCGGCTCAAATATTCTACTAAATATACATTTGTTGCTCAATAAACCGTAAAACTGCTTCCAAATTCCCTAAAAATTTTAACTTAATGCTCATGA